TTTTATACGAGCGCGACCATTGATCAAATTCCCACTTAACCTGTGCATGAAACGTATCATGGGTACCAAGCAAAAATGACTAAATGAGCAACAATGGTCACTCTTGAACTTCCTGAAGTTCTTCTGCCTCGTACTTTTGCACGTACATGTCGGCAGAATGAGATGTCTCATGATGAGTGTGATGTGGACATATCACCCTGTCATGTGATCATTCTGGGCCAATGAACAGCCGGTATCCAAGACAGAGATATGGCAAATGTACATGTACATCCTAATTGTAAATACTTTGATTTTTCACTTACATATCTTTTTTTCCATGAATTGATAGAAATGCAGAAGCCTTAAACACCATCTCCCAGGATGCTTTGCGTCATATGGAAGGCACTGTAATTTTTCATGTGACATTTACTGTCAAGCAAGATCAAGACCTGGGCCGTGAATTCATCAAGTTTCTGAAGGTAACAGCAGAATGTCACATTTCTATTGTTGTCTGTGACCCATCATGACAAAATGAGCCTAAAGTGTCACTCTACTGATTATCAATGTGACTGTTCAAAGTAAAAAAAAAAGTTGTGGGGGACAGGTTGTGGGTGTTTGTAATATTTGTAAGAGTAACTCCATTTTAATTCCAAATTTTTAGCAGAATCAAATTTTACGTTTTTTCACAAAATTTAACGATAGCATTATGCACGCCTTAAGTTGTTAGAAATGTTGGCACAAAATCGGAAACAGATGCAATTCCACCTCAGTGATGTCATCATACTTTTACCCTACATGTAGGTATAAATTGCCCATCCTGTCCCCCCCGCATTGTTTTAGCATAGTGTAAACCTAGCTTTAAGGACTATTCGGTGGGCATTAATTTCACATACTCCAGACTGCAGAGATTTGTACGGAAATATACATATACAGGGTAGAACCAAAACAGTCAAGAAAAGAAACTTTTGACAAGCAGAACATAGAAGCTGAAAAAACAGTGCACTTCCCAGCAACTATCAACTTCCCGAAGTAGCTAAAATGACTGTAGGTACTAAAACATTCAGCTGTACATACCACTATTACCTTATCAAACCAGTGGCATATCAACGGTATTGGGTCCAAGTGGGGAGGGGGGCAAATTACATTTATTTCAAACATGACTATTAGTTTTACCCATAAGACAATCCTCATCCCTTCCAACTGCTTTTAGTTCCATAGAGAAAGCAACCAACCAACAACCCAACCTAAATCAAATCTCGGAGGGGGCAAATTTATCCCCTCCCCCTCCATGGGATATGCCATTGCGTAAAACCTGTACAAAACTATCAACTTTGATAATTGATTTCCTAACATCTTCACCTAAGCTGATGCCAAATGTCTTTCCAGCTTGCACATTATCCAATGTATTTGACATGCAAGGTTTATAAGTCTGGAGCTTAAAGTTGATAATCTTGACTATGTTTCCAGTTTTGTACTCCATTTGTATTATGCACTGAAGTAAGCCCTACTTATAGAGTAAAAGCAATATTAATAGCAAGTACTGCATACATTGAGTAGAAGATACATGAAGCTAATGTTTAGCATATGCTTCAGCTTTTTTTTTTGTAAACAGGAAATTAAATACTCCAGTTTTCAAGTGAAACTAAATACTTGATTATATTAACCCTCCTGAATCCTTCACCTGTTGGAGGATTGAGGAGGGTTAGGGTTAATATACCACAGTCCATTGCCTCACATGTCCTTTTGGCCTGTCATTGTCTTCTATATCTGTATGTGTGTCACAGGCAGGTCTGATGAGTGATACCACGGCCATTCTTTCACCATTCACGGTAGCATTGGCACTCTCCATTGCACAGATTCATAGATTTGAAGAACCAGTAAGTATATAAATATCTTGTTAAAAAGGAGTGGTACCTTGGACACTTGAATTAGAATTAATCACAATGTGATCTTAAAATCCTGTTTTGTTCATCATGTGAGATGTATACCTGGCATACATGTATTAGTCAATACTGTTCTTCCAAGGTGAAAAAGCATTCATTATACCAAACCTGACAGCCTGTAATACTCTGGATCAGTTGCATGGCTTGTGTTTTCACCAAATGTCAAAATGTTGCTGTTCTTTCCCACTTTACCCGCACTCCCACCACAGGAAAGGGGCAGTTCATTTCTATTTTTAGTACCTGAAATTTCCATTCAAAGTATAGATCATTCCAAAATGCTATTCCAAGCACAAAGTATCAGCTTGGTGTCTTTGATTGTTTTACTGCAGCAGCCTCAGCTGGATGCCTTATCACTTTTTTTCTCACTTTGAAGTGCATGTGTGCTATAAAAGCATGATACATGCACTTCAGAAACTCAAAACTTGACATTCTCAATACGTGCCCACAGGGTCAAACAGTGGCCTGAAAAAGATCCTTCAGGTCATTTTTTGTCTGGGTACTGTGGGTACTGTACATTTGGATACATGGTCAAGTTCCTAAATATGTAGATATTAACTATTGGTAATCCTCGGTCAATTTTTATGTTGTGAAAATCTGAAAAAAAGTTAAACAGCATCCATGTTTATGTTTAGGACCTGATGGGGCCACTTCTTCTGAAATAAAAAAACTTTAAAATCTCATCATAAAAGCTAAAAAACTATGGGTAAGATATAGCCTTAACACCAGTTTTCAGCCTTCCAAATAGGTCTTCAAAGCTGCTACCAAAACGAGCAATTAAAGTGTACCAAAAATCGGCATTGCACCCAAATATTTAGAGGCTCAAACAAGGAAACAATTAAGATATCAAGTTGACACTTTTTTACCTTTGTTTTTTATAACTACGTTTTGTAAAAGTAAACATATTTTTGCAACATATTAGACTTTTATATACTTTACCAGTTTAATAATATCATCATCATCCTCAGAGAAAGAAGTCTCTGACACCTTTCCTAAATTGTTTGCAGTAAGAGTTTTTGACAGGAAATATATTTTATTTCTGTGGTCCTGTAATTTCAGATCTATGATTTCTTGAAGAGTGCTATTTTGAAAAGTTTCAAAGATGCTGCAAGACAGAAGTCATCTCATTGGATTGCAGGTAATGTGGATAGATACTAGAATTCTGTACCATGTCAGAGATTACTTACAGATTATTCATACGGTGCAATTTTCACATCTTTGTCTTTTTTGGCCCTTATGGTACAAGTTGAACAAAGCAGCGGATAGTGAAAATCACAATGTTTGAAAGATAGCACTTTAAAAATCTCGCACACATTTTATCTAACAGTGTCAACAAATTTTAAAGATACATGTTTGACCAGCATTAGCAACAATGCAATCAAACTGTATCCAGTTTTGACATGTCTCATTGTTACAGAGTACCAAACTATGATATCATTTTCAACCAAGAATCGTAGTGCAAAGGAAGTTCTGGTCAGTGCATCGTTGTAGACCTGCTCATCGGCAAAATAAACAAGTTTTTTATTTGGCATAATATGATGTCAAAAAGCTGCCAAATGGAATTCTGCTACTGCATAATTTTAACAGTTTTAGATGGGGTACGGTCTAGTAATATGTGCAGTAAAGGCCCCCATTCATTTTAATTAGTCGCGCACTCTTTTTCATGATGTCATTTTGTATTAAATCTAGGAACCAGACAAATGCACTGGTCTTATGTCTTGCGTACATCTACATGCTGAAATTACTTTTAAACAGTAAACAGTGAGGGGGCCAATCTATTTCAGTGTTGGTTGTGGTGGTGTGTACACATGCAGTCGCAATGAACATCGTGCAGTATACATCATTTCTAGGGGAAAAAAGTGAGGCCAAAGAAAAATATGTTGCAACACCACTTTTGGAGCCAGTCCCTGAACAGAAATTGGAGACTTTCTTTTGTTTGGCTTAATTTGTGGTGCACTCTGACCAGGATTAAAAGTCACCAAGCAGTTACAAGCAGTCACTAGCAGTCATTTTTATTGAAAATTACAGAATAATGCTTCTTCCTCAGTCTTCGTCTGAAGAAAGCCAAACTTAGGTGGTTACATGTATCAGTACATACATGTAAAATTCCCTTGACCAAACTGGCTTTAGAATTTACCCAAAGGGTACCTACCGGTGGTGGTACTTGTGGTCATTTGGTGAAAATCATAAAGCGGCTCCTTCTGTCATATTCTTCAGCTGATTCCAGCCATATTTGGTCAGGTGATTATCTGTGTGGAGTCCTACAAAGGGTCCTGGCAGATTTGGGTCGGAGGTTACTTACCGGTTAATAGTGGTAATTTTTTTTTTTTAAAGTAATACATTTCTGTAACATAGATCTGTAAAGCATGGAGCAAAATTGAGCATCAACTTTTGGCAGAAAGCTGAGTCAAGTCTGCAAGTCAGGTCGTTTTTAAACTAATCATTTGATGTCCTGGATTTTTCGAAAGCGTTAGACACCATACCGCACAGAAAACTTCTTCACAAACTCCATAGTTATGGCATCGGGGGGCGCACTACACCAGTGGCTAACCTCCTTTCTCACACAATGCAAAATGCAAGTCATTCTGAAGGGCATAGCATTAGAGCAAGTACCTTTTGATTCTGAAGTCCCTGATGGAACAGTGTTGGGGCCCTTGCTCTTTCTGTGTCACATAAACGACCTCCCAGGCAGCGTCATGTCCCAGGTTCGTCTCTTTGCAGGTGGCTGTCCCTGTACCACCAAATTAACAACAATCAACAATGATTTTCATGCTTTGACTTTTCTATAAAAGAAATAACTTGGAAGTGCCCATGTTGTGTACATGTACCTGAATGAATGTTCAGAGGAGCAGTCATACCGGGTATGCTGTGTAGGCAATTCAAACAGCTATTTTCCATATATTGTATTTCATACATTCTAGACTTTAAACTCACATTCAGGACTTGAATGATTTACATTCTGTTCTCTAAACAGAATTAGCCCCCTCGTCAATGGATGTAAGTGAACTCATCTTGGATACAGTTCAGAATAGGTAAGTATTTACATGTGTGAAGAATCTATTTGTGTCATACTATTATGAATACCAGTGCCTGCTTCATTTCATTCATTGTTATACCTGTAGCTCAAACTGTTTAACCAGTTCTGCTGGTCAGGAGCTTTTCATATTGTTTCACATAAACTATAGCATAAAATGTTCCAGACTCAGTGCCGCTCTGAGCATTGTGTACATTGTTTACCATTCAATCATTTACTGACAATTCAGTACCTTATTGAAAGAAGGACCCAACTCCAACAAAACCTTTCAAAAGAAAAGCAATGAAAATCTTTTGGAGAGGTTGCACAGGAAATCAATTACCGGTAACTCTCTTTGGCCAAAATGATAGAGTTGGGCCTACCTTTTAATGAGGTATCCAGTTATCAACAATACCTCTCTATTCCTCTTATTTGTAAGAGATATCTTGAAAGTGCAAGAATTGGAAACGGCATACATGACTCATTCTTCCTGTCGTGCCTCACACTGTGCTTTTCATTGCCTTTTGCATACATGTATGTTCTCAATCAAACACACACATGCTCTGCATTTCCATGGAGGAAGGAAAATTCTTCCTCCATGGCATAACACAAAGTGAAAAATCAGTGTTCACATCCCACGTGCTGAGGGGCCCATAGATCATCACATTGTTACAGTTACCCTCTGACATGTTGGGGGGAGCAGTCCACTGAGCACCATAGGAAAGTACAACTTAGTACTGTGTCTGAATGGTTGTAACTAAAATGCTTCCATTGTCATTGACCCAGTGTTACATTATGAGTTTTCTGTGGCATACATGTACTTTTGTATGTAAACAAGCGTGTTCATTATCCCACATGACAGGGCTACCATGTGCTTTTGTCATACAGAGTTTGTACCCTGTACGTGTGCCAATACTTAATTTTTACTCTTTTGGTTGGTATTTGCATGCAGCCGCTTCCTCTTTCATTTGTTGATCGGTGAACTACAGCACTTATAGGAATCACTCTAAAACAGTTTTTATCATGGCCAAGGCTTCTGTTAATACCAAAGATGAACGGGTCTATACTATGTTGAGCAAACAGCAATCCCTAGGCAAACTCTGGCAGAGCAATCATGTGCTGCATCTCTACTTCTGCCATGAAAACATGTCGTCTCATATTGTAACACTGAAAATTTAGCTCCTTATTCATTAATTTGCTTTAATGAATACCTAGATCACTTTAAAACTACAAATGTGTGAGCTGTAAATTGGTAAAAAATTGTCTTACTGTGCAATTACAGTTAAAATTGATCTCATGTGTTCAATTTAGTTCTGAAAGATACTGTACTGGTCACACTTGAAGGTCTGCAACTTGATACGAAAACAGTTTTATGGAATATGTGAAGTACTGAATCAGTAATCAACATTTCATTTCATTTCCAAAAAAATGAAGAATTTTCCAGCGGTACAAACACTTCATGGGTTGAAAGGCACAAGTACACAGTTGTGTATATTTCAGAGTATAACAGAACTACATGTATACACATAAATGAGCTGAGTTTCTTTGTTACCTGGCAGGAAATGGTTATGAATATTTCCAAGTGGAACTCGCAGTATTAAAATGGTGTCTAAACGTTTGGTTTGTTTTAAGATTACCCTGACCTCTGTGGCAAGCATCCATTTTTAACTCTTACAGTATTAGCTAAAACGCTGTCTGAACATAGCCACATAAATCAAAATGTGGCATAATTGGTACTGAAGACCAAAACA